CCCCCCAAATATTTCCCAAAGCATTCCAGATACAAATATTTTTTGAAACCCAAAACCAAATAATTAAGAAGAAAAAAAGATATTAAACATTCCAATTTTCCAGAAAACATTGATTTAACTTAGCCCAGCGTCATCCCAAAAATGGTTAATTGGCCATCCGGCGATCATGAATTTAAAAAATTCGCAGTCTCTTTCGAAACAACAACAAGAATTTTAGGAACGATTATATGGGGATTTCGGGGTTTTGGGTCTTGTATTTTTTCAGAATCGAAATACCTCATTCACATCATGACTTTTTGCTGATAAAGTTCAAATCTGATATTCTTTCTTGTATAATTTTAATACCCGTCATTGTTTATAAAACACGAACACGGTTTGTTTTTGGAATGTGGATTTTTAGACGCGGCAATAGGGTCTCCCCATTTTACATCCCGAAGATTGACAAAAAATACGGCATTTCCGGCTTGGTTCGAAATACTCCGCTTAGGCCCGTTCACATTTCGGTGCGTTATCATCATTTTAAGCGACAATAATGCCGGTATAAAAGTTCATCCTACGAATTAAAAATCCATAATTTTTAAGTTTAATTTGGTGTAAAGGTTGAAATTTTAGTATGATAAATTATCGACAAAAAATTCAATCACTATTGCACCTATTTTAAAAAAAAAATTTATTTTAATACCAAAATTGGTAAAAATACGATAAAAATAATATTTAACCTTTGCTTTTCCCACTTCATTTTTTTTTTAAGTTAATGAAATTATTTTAAATATAAACAATCAAAACGATGAGCATGATTTTCTACTATAAAATAACGCCATTATTAAGAGTTAAAGTTTTACAGCGTATTCACCAGATTGGTGATATCGATGTTCTTGGACTTTATCGGGGCCAAACCAAACATTTAAATATGAGAACTTTAAAATGACAAAATTACCACGTTACGATGAAGGTTCTTTGAAATTTATAATAAAACAGCCGTAAATTATTGAAAATAAAATGGCAACACCCAATTTGAAATAAAGTTTTGAAAAATTCCGTAGCCATTTGGAAAAAAATTCATATATCCGATAATAAACGGGAGAATCCAACCGAGTCTTTAAACAAATCCCCGAACAATAAGAGGAAACAATATAAACATAATAATAATGCAAATTTTAGGCAATAATACTACATAAAATCCAATCGTAAATATTATTTCAAAAAAAACTAAAATCACCATCTTTATAAATATAAATAAGGATAAAATTCATTCATGAAAATCGATTGTATTTTATGTGATGGTTTAAAAAAGATTCCAACCGACACAATATTAAATTTCAACGTAGGGAATAATGTAAAAATATCACTTATACCATCTGAACAGATAAAAAAGTTTCCGATTTAAACAGGATCCACAATGTTAATATCTTAGGATTCAAAATCGCTTCATACGGAGGCCTTAACGAAACTTTAAAAATCTAGAATTCATCAGATTGTTCCCAAAAAACATTATCCAGACACACCATCTTGTTGATGCATAATCGCGTTAAAATCCGCAACTCCACAATTCAAGACTCCAAAAAAAGAAAGGAATATCCATCTTTGAATTTAAAATCCTAAATTTGGTAGAGTGAAACGAAGTGAAGTTGAAGACAAAAGGGTCATGGTTGTGGAATTTGAGGGAGGATTTTGCCGCAATTCACAAGAGGACCATTATTATAGTGCCGGGGGTGATCCCTTGGACGAAATTGAAATCGGTGACAACATGATCCTTAAGATAAACCATTCGTGGTTCTTTTTTAAACACCTTCTGTTTGTATAGGGCGAGAAGTCAGTATTAAGGTTTTATTCGTGTCCACACAAAAAAAGCGTCGTCAAAAGGACACCGGAAATCCATAGCCTTTATTTTGGCAAGATAGCGAAAGCTATATTTAGGAATCATAGCGCCATTAAAATTTACTTCAAAAATTCAAACCCACAGAAAACACCATAAAATAAGTATTCATAAATGGATGGGGAAAGCGAAGAACCGTGCTTGTGTTCCTTTTGGGCGAAATGTTTTGATCATCAATTTATCCCCCTTCAAATAAATGGTTAAAAAGTAACGCTTGTACAAAATTTTAACGCCCATACATCATTCGCATCTTTCTTTAATGTCAAACTTCGTTATTCAGAAAAACCCAAAAAGATATAAATGTTTAACTCAGTTTCTTCTTTTTTTTTGAAGCGCATATAGTCAATTTATTTCATAACGTACTCAATCTAGCCAATCGCAGTTAAGATGGTTAAAATTATTATACAATTTATAAAATTCTCAAACAAGATGAGACAAAGGTCTCTTTAATATGCAAATTTAAAGTTTATTTGGGAAAGGGTGGAGTATTTTTTATAAGGGGAACGTATTTTTCTCAACTATTACAATAAAAACGTACTTGAATAAACAACCTAGAAAATATTAATTTTTATTTAAATTACGATAGTTGAATAATGAATCTAAAAGTTTTAAGGGCAATTTGGAGAACACCATCTCTTTTAAATGGGGCCTTGGCGGGGGGCTGTCTGAGCCTTTAAGGGAGATTCTAACCCCATATCGTTTTTAAAATGGATGTCGCATAAACAGTTGCAATTTATGCGATGTGTGGTTTTATATTCTTGCTATCGGTGTCCAAATTCACATTTATGCTTTGATTAGGTTATCTGGTAACCTTTTTTAACTCAGAGAATCCCCAAATGGGATTCAACAGAGGAATATCTGAAATTTATAAAAGAACTCTAAAGGCAACATTTGAACGTGCTTGATGCATTCAACTG